GCCCTGTGACCTCATGGATCTAAGAAGCGTTGTTGATTTTTCACTTTGCCCAACCTTTTACTTGTTAGGACAGAGTGGTAACCTCCAAGCATCTGACATGCTGGATAGGAACCTGGAAGTTTCCCACGTGCATTTATCTCTTCATTTCCTGTGTGTGTGTGTGTGTATAGGATATGTATATATATGCAATACATATTTATATATAATATATGTTTTTTACAAGTTTTCACTTTTCCATCTTCTATTATTCTTAAGGCATTACCCGTGGATTTATACACTCTCGTGTCCTTTCTAGTTCAGTCTCCATTTCTTTTTTTTTTTTTTTTTTAAGATTTTATTTATTTATTCATGAGAGACAGAGGGAGAGAGAGAGAGAGAAGCAGAGGGAGAAGCAGGCTCCCAAGGAGCAGGGAGCCCGATGTGGGACTCAATCCCAGGACTCTGGGATCATGACCTGAGCCGAAGGCAGACATTTAACCATCTGAGCCACCCAGGCGCCCTCAGTCTCCATTTCTAAAGTTAGTTTCTCCGTGATTTTTATTCCATCCTGTTAGCTTTTAGCTCTTTTCAAATCTTTCTCTTCTCTACTCACCTTTTTTCTGAGTATATAATCTATGCTGTTCCCTCAGAGCAGCTCTCTTCTCTGAATTTCTTTTAGTTCATTTTGGAACATCATGTAACAGTTTTAAGTCTGATGGATTTGTATTGCCTATATTACTACTATGCTCCTTGTTCTGTCTCTTTGACATATAAAATTACATATACAAATTAAATGTAAAAGATAACTGCAAATAATTATGTAAATAAATATAGATTACTCCACTCATTGTTATACCTAAGTTACACATAATTACATATAATTATATAGGTATACCTAATGGCTTTATATATAATTATATGTATACATGTATAGTATCATATAGTATTTAAAATACATAAATTATAATTTATATAATTATGTATGTATATATAGTGGTTTTTTATATTGTATAATTATATGTATATAACATATGGTATAATTATATGTATATAATATTGTATGTGCAGTATACATAGGTATATATTTGTATAAAATAAAAAGAGAAACACCAACCAGGAACAGAATTATGTCTACAGGCAATAAAGACATAGCAGATAAACAGATAAAACTGGAAGGAACTTTCTCATAGAAAAGGAGGGTGGGTCAGGATAGCTTCTGTAGCTATGTGTCTCTCGAGTAACATATTCCTCGGCTTTCACCCAGTATTCAAAAGACAACCATTCTTGGGCGCCTGGGTGGCTCAGTTGGTTAAGCGACTGCCTTCGGCTCAGGTCATGATCCTGGAGTCCCGGGATCGAGTCCCGCATCGGGCTCCCTGCTCAGCGGGGAGTCTGCTTCTCCCACCGACCCTCTTCCCTCTCGTGCTCTCATTCTCTCTCTCTCTCAAATAAATAAAATATAAAAAAAAAACAACAACCATTCTTTATGAGATCTCTCGGCTCTGTTTCCCTCCCTCCCCCTTACCTGATACATCTCTATCCTTAGCCCCTGCTCAATCCATACTTGATTCACAATCATTTCTCCTCAAAGCAAGGCCTGTCTAGAAGGGGGCTTTAACAGGTTCGTTTCAAAAGTCATAGGCCAAGACTGCTCCAGAAACACTGGTTCATCTTTACCATGTCTCCCTCGTCCCCTCCTGGTTTCAGCTGCTGTTTCCACACTGGCCCACCATGTCCTCCAGGAGTACGTGTAACTGATTTTTGGACACGACAGAAACCAGGCTGTCCTTCCTCCACTTTCTGCAATACACGTCTGGACACCCTATGTGGGGATAACATGTCATCTAGTTTACTCTAGATCCTACGTTGTCTGTGCACGTGGGGTTCTGCAGTCTTCCAGGCCCTCACTGCTTTTATGTCCGGATTCGCAGAGATGAGAACCTACGCATCTCTGATAACTTCTCATCTCCCCTCAAAATTTTAATGGTAACAAGGGCAGTCTGTCTGAAAGGGACTAGGTTCCTAAAAGCAAAAGTCCAACGTCTCTATCATAAAAAGACAGAAAATGAAAAGTCATTCATATAAAGAATACAAAGTATCCATGATTACACAATTTACGAATGACTAACTGAAACATATCGTCAGGTTTGATGTTTGCACGTTCTACAGGAAAACCTATGCTGGAGTTATGAACCATCCTCTTTCAGGCAGAAATCTGCATGAAGAGCTGTCCAGGAACATGAAACAGTTTTCTGAAAAAGGCAGTCCTGCCTTTGATTAAAAGATTCTGTAGCTTAAGACATGTCTGGGATCATTTCCAGGAACACATATATAATTTACTGTGACTGACTACTCACTGCCACCAATAACTTCATTCTCTCCACCGTTTTAATAAATGCAGAAGACAACAAACTTGGGGGCGGGGGCAGAAGAGGGGCCATCTCCCGTTTTCCACCAATGAAACTCAAATCCAGATATATCTGCACAAAATACATCTGGACCCAGGCTTACATATTTTATTATTTTTTTAAAGATTTAATTTATTTGACAGAGAGAGACACAGGGAGAGAGGGAACACAAGCAGGGGGAGTGGGAGAGGGAGAAGCAGGGGGCCCACTGCAGGGCTCGATCCCAGGACCCCGGGATCATGACCAAGCCGAAGGCAGACACTCAACGACTGAGCCACCCAGGTGCTCCCAGGCTTACATATTTTAAGCATGAACTGAGATCCAGAGTTTTGACTCTCTGTAATTATAGAAAATTAAAAGTCTATAAAAGATATAATTGGGCTAATAATGGTGGTCCCCTTTCAAACTGAATGATCCACTTAATTTTGTGGATGACTTACTGGTTCAAGGCACTGTGCCTGGTACTAAGCAGTAAGAGATAAGAAAATAAATGAGATATGCTCTAGTCCTCAGGGAATTCAGAAGTCGGTGTATGTATCTAAGAGCAGGTGAGAAAGTGGTGCAGGTATTATACAGAATTAAGCCCAACTGCCAACATAACAGAAGTATAAACAAAGCACTTAAGAAGGGCAGAGAACAGAAGTCAGGGATCTCAGAAGAAAGCAACCCAGAAGAGGGACTATTTGAAATAGGCTTTGAAGGACAAGCAGCATTTCAGCCAGCTAAGTACAGGAAAGACATATAGCACAGGGACAACAAAAGCAAATAACAATAAAAAAAAAAAAAAAAAAACCAATGACATAGTAAGGGGTTTTCAAGTAAGAGTGTATTTATGTTGTAAGAACTTACAAAAAAAATAAAGTTCAAATAGGTTTACTGGACTTCAGTTGCTATTCATTCTATGCTTGATCAACATTCTCTATCTCATCCTACATGCAAATTTTCAAAGATGCTAGAAAAGAATAAAATAGGATGACAACAAAAATGGTCAAAGTGGTCAGTTTGCTAGATCATCATCAGTTAACAGTGAGAGTGTCAAGTAACCCTCCTAGGAAGGAACCACTTTAAACGGATCCCTAGCCCTAATCAATGCCTTGATTGACGCATGATATGCCTACTACAAATCAGGAGCATTCGCTTTTAGTATTGGAAAACAACTCTCACATTAAAGGAACAAGAGCCAGCATAGCGTTCAACATAATGTGAAAATCAAAAACCAGCCAGCTAAATGGTGCCTGGTTCTAGGCACTACAGAATATCAGAAACCACAAGGAATGTGCTAAATGTTAAAATGCTTAATATCTCCCTCTTAAGAATACTTTCAACAACTAACACCTATCACCGTAATTTGTACAAAGAGAATGCTCAATAAATACTTGTCGAATCAAAAATAAATCTAACCCAGGCTATAAAACACGTAATGTTTTGCCACTCACTATTACAATGTCAATCATGTTACCTGGCATTGAATTATCATAATAAATGAATCATATGTATACATTGCTCAGTATTTTTTCACAGAATAACCAAAGAGGTACTGCGGTATAAAGGAAAGAATCAGGGATTTGAAGCCAAAAGGCCAAGGAGTAAGCATGAAAAACCATTGCCAATACTGTGGCTTTGAATCACATTAAGCCTTTGAGGCACAGTACCTGACCTCTATTCGGTTCCCACATCCCCACCTGTGCAATGAATTTGACAGCAAGAACTATACACACTCTTACAGCAGCCGCTGAATGAGACTGTCTGTCAAAGGACTCCATAGACCAAAAAGTGCTACAGAAAAGATGACTACATGGACTGATTTCTGGTCGACTTCCTACCCATGAGATGTCTTCCTCTTTCCCTTCCTCCACACAGTCGGATCTTTCAGCACATCGTGTACATCCCCAAGGCATGTTGTCAATCTCCCCCAAGTGCCCCACCATCACTCTAGTCCGAAGAACCAGCAGCTCCCATCCAGATTTCCATCTCCCTGCTTCCATGCTTGCTCTCTCAACATCCTCCATCACGTAAGAGCCAAGATGATCTTTGCAATGTCTACATCAAATTGCACCACTCACCGGTTCCAATGGCCTCCCTTCATCCTAGAGCAAAACCTCAACTCCTGGCCATGGCCTCAAAGGCCTCCATGACCAGTCCCAGTTGAGGAGAACTAGGGGCCCCTACATTACGTGGTTCCTCTGTCTGCAATGTTCCAGGATACTCAGGACAGCTCACTCTCTCTCTCACTTCATTCCAGATTGCTCAAGTTTCACTGCCTCAGAAAGTCTTCCGCAAACATCCTTTGTGAAACGGTGAGTCCTTGCTCCATCACTCTATACCCTATTATTCTGCTTTCTCCATAGGTCTGAGTTCCAAAATCACATCACTTATTTACTTGTTTGCTAAACACCATGGGGGTGAGAGCTTGGTCTCATTTTTGTCAACAATCTTCTCTGACTTGCAAAAAGTAGAGGCTCAACTAGAAATTTGCTTAATGAACGGTAAGCACATTTTTCAAATCCCCCTCAGTTTATCTGTTCCACACACAACAAGAGAGCGCCCATAAATAACTCCAGTACCACTAGTAAAACCCGAATACTTGAAAGGCCTCAAAAGGCTTTATCCCACCTTGGAATTCGAAGTGGACTCCAAGAAACAAAGTCGGTTGCCAAACCCTTCTGCCGCCAAACACAGTTTCTGTTGTTCCTTGTGGATGGTTGCGGTGCACTGCAGAACCACCTCGTCATCCTGCAGAGAGGGAGGAAAAGAGAAAAATAAAGTGAGGTTTGACATGACTCGACCATCTAAATCAGACCTAGAAGACTTATTTTAGCGCCTACTAAAAATCAGAGAAAAAGGTAACAACAACTGTCCCCACCCCCACAAAAAAAGAAAAACCCGACAGAATCAATCCCTCGAAAATTTTCCCTTGTAAAAAAGGTAAGATGGAAGGAGGAGAAAGAGCTGATTGCCACTCAGGCAGTCAGCAGTTTCCTCACTATCATTACTGATCCCCAGAGGCAACCCACACGAGCAATGGTAAAATACAGAATCTCCACGTTAGCACTCTCGCACACAGTTTTAATCATCAAAATTACCAAGAAATTGTCTGACATCAAGTGTCATCAGGACCAGCACCGGTTCCAACAGCAGGTGCACACAGCACTCCAAAACCAGCACAGGAAGCCAGGTCAAGAACAGAACACCTGGGTTCAAATCGATCTGAAAAGTCGTCTCAGCTCATCCACACATTGTTCACATTTCAAAGGACCCTCGGGTGCTTAAAAATGTGCAGAGAGAGAGGATGTGCTAGTTCAGTCCTGTGAAATCCACACTGGTTTCCAATTAACTAAGCAGCATTACAGGGCAGGTCATGCCAGGGAAAAGATGATACATGGGACGACTCAGTGTAGGCAGCATGAGGACAGCAAGAAGCACGGACTTGAGACTCAGCAACAGCTCGAGCTCGACTGCTATCCCGGCTCTGTCATCTGCAGGTTAAAGATCCTAGACAAAACACTGAATCTCTAAGAGGACAAGGTAAATGAGTCACACAGAGACTGATAATGCAGACGGGGCTCAATAGACAGTAAGCGGGAGATAGCACTGTCATTTTTAAACAGAATATCTCACTTTAACAAGTTCTAAGTAGCCACTGCCTAAACAGTCTAACCTCTTGACACTTAAAGCAGTCAAAAAACAAATACATTCGTTGACCCTTTTAATTAGAATGGGAGAGAAAAGGGACAATCAGGTATAACCTAGAAGACCCTCATCATGGAAGAACGGCAGGCAGAGTGGGGGTGAGGAGATGTGATAAAAATTCAAAAGCAGAAAACAAGCCTTTTGGGTTGACCCAAAGAATATGCTGTATCAAATGGAAAAGTACAACTCCAATCTGCATTTAAAACCTTTATAATGCTACGTATTTGTTTTCTTTCCTACACGGTGCAGCAATACGTAATAGCTGGCTTACAGCACCAGTCACAGGCAAAGTCCAGTCTCTTAATAATCACCTCCCAACTCTCCCTCCAGGTGCTCATTAATTTCCAGCAAACATTCAATTGTTACATTTAAGAAGTCATCCGCTAAAAAAAAAAAAAAAAAAAAAAAAAGCATTTTCATATAACAAGCACATCTGAATATTAATTCATGCTCAGCATGGCTGTAATAAAAATAATGAAGGGTTTTTGTTGCTTAAGTAATCTGCAAAATCAAAGATATATTTTGCTTTCCACATGTGGAGCCTAATAACAAAGAACCAAATTGCGTTGATGTGCTCATTGCCTTACCAAATCCCACCAGTTTTTTACTATCTTGTCTCACTCACCCTCTGGAACTAACTCGAGCATGCAAACTGCACTCGTGGGTAAAATGGGCTCCTCTGGATGTTGGAGACCATCTAAATTCCATTTAGTAAATAATTACTTTAATGCACTCATTAAAGACAGTTTGAGAATGAGAATTAAGAGAAAATAGAAAGGTATAAGACAGGCGAGAATAACGTGCTACTCAGGAAGCCCCCAAAAGAAGAGGGGGCACATCACATTTGCCAAGAAGTATAGTGTATGTCAGTCTTGGCATTAACTGATTTATTCTTCACCACATCCTGTGATGTAAAGATTATCCCCAGACAGACGAGGACAATGAGGCTCAAGGTAACTTGTTGCTCACAGAGAGGGCTGATCATACATATGTCTAGGAACTGGTCATTCAACCTAATTTATCTGAATCTAAAAGTCCTCAGCCCCACGCTGCTTCTAGAAGCTCAACTGATTTTTTTTACATTTGTTATCTAGAAAAGTACCTCTCAATCTTTAATGTGCATCCAATCACCTACTGAGGTGCAGATTCTGGTTCTTGGGTGGGGCTGATTCTGCATTTTCAACCAGAGGATCCGAGGAGCTAGGATCCCCAGTGGGTCCCAGAAAGGACAGAGATCCCAAGAGACAGGTGAGCTGGCTCTTACAAGAGCTTGGAGGCAATCAGTAACAGCTGAATATTAAAGCAAGTGTATACTTTGGACAGAACCAGAAATGAGAGCACACGTGGAGATGCTCATTAATATGTGGTCCATACCAACCATGTTAGGGAAGGGAACTAATATAAATAATATACTGAACTACCCTACTAAGTTTATAAAATCAACTCACTTGTGCCAAGTGTCCCTTTAGTCCCCTAACACTAGATTACTGTGTGATGGAGTGTCTGGCCACAAAGCCACATGAAGTTCAAAAGTACTCTGCCACACAAAGAGAGAGGCTCTAACTACAACCTTCAATCACGATTCCATTTTGAATGACAGAACCTAGCCTGACGTACTTATAAGGCTTTTTCCAGTTTACCTGGGAGCAGTTTTCATTTTACATTCCAGTAAGCAGAGGGTTTCTTTCTGACAGAAACTAAAATATACTCAGCATTGGACGGACCAAACACCAATTCATAAATACCTGCCAGTCCCCTTTAATTAACCCATCATTGATCTCGAAGCATCATTTTTCTCCAGAACCACTCTGGTTCTTGAGAGCATACTGACTATGCATTGGAAAAGTCTAAGTAGTTTTTTTCTTATAACCCATGTGCAGTAAATCTGGTTTTTGCCAACGTGTACATGTGTGCATACGGATCTAGTTACACACATACACATACATGAAATATCTTTTCTATTCTAAGAACAGAGACTAAGCACAGCCTCATACTGTTGGGATCCAGAGAGTTAACACTGTTAAGGTAACAGAACAGTAAGGCTATAGGTTAAAGTGTGTCTCTTGGGTCATAAGCCTTCTGAATTAGTCTCTGCCACCCGGCCTGAGGTCCAGGCTCCTAACGTCTCTTTTCCAGTCTTCACATTTTAATTCCATATGTCAGTGGTGTACCAGAGTGCCAAAATGCACACAGTGGCCATCACTTTTCCAGCCTTAGTCCACAAGAACTAAAATCTTCCTCCAATATTAACCTTTCAGTATTGTTTTTTGAGTCCTCATGTCTTAGGTCTAGTACCTAGGGCTACAAATTTTGATTCAACTCACAAGAAATCCTATTCCATAACCAAAATGCTACAAAAGTATATTCTGCCTACATTCTATTATTTCATTTTTTAATTTCAAAGTCTGTTAGTTAAAGGCAAATGACTAGCATGAAAAGATACTAGAACTTTCCTGGAAATACTTGAACTTACACCATTGCCCATTTTATATAAAACAAACTGGAAAAAATAAAGTTACTAGCTTTGTTTTTTGGTTTTTGTCTTTTTGTTTTGTTCTTACAAATTTAGAATAAAATAAAATGTAAAAAAAAAAATTCTAGGAGAAACTTCCTGAACTTTGTGAAGATAAAGTGCTCTCTGGCTTACGATCCCCAAGATCCTATAGATTCTATGCCAAATCCAGCAATTTCAAATCCATCAATTTCTCACCACACCAGCTACGATCATCTCTTGGTTATTATTTCCAAAACCCAACGAATAGTTTTCCACAATGCAAACTCCCTTCCAATGGTGTTTCACCTCAAGGTCACCCCATCAACCTGACTGTAATGTTTCCTGGCTTAAAATCTTTTAATGGCTTCCCATTGCTCTAAGGAAAAAGACCAAAGGACTCTAGTCCACAAGGCCCCACACTGCATAGAAAAGTACCAGCTTGACATTTCCTCCAACCAACCTTCCTTCCTTCATTCGTTCATTCCTATGCTCCTACAGGACTTTGCACATGCAATTAAACCCTTTCTCTCTCCTCTAGTTAAGACATATTCATCTTTCAAATCTTAACTCAAGCATCCATTCCTGAGGTGGGCCTTCCCTGACCCACCAGGCTGCATCAGTTTGTTTTGTGCTCCTATACCACTATATTCCTTCAGCTTAAATAACTGAATGCACCATGCCATTATTAAATTACAGTGCCTAACACCGCCCTGGGCAAATATAACATACTCAGTAAAGGATTATCTTAATCCACTTTATGATTGCTCATAAATATGTGTTGCCATGCTGACAAATTGAGTTGCCTTTTAGAATTGCCAAGGTAAGACCCTACCTTCCCAATTAAAGCTAGCATGATATGATCCCATTAAGTGATTTTCTGGTTATATTCAGCCAGGAAATAGGGCAGTATTTGAGGAAAATTGCTCATCCTACTATATTTATGACAAATTTTAATGGATTGTAAACATCTGTGGCATCAATATAAAACCCAATGGGATTACTGGGGGGAAAAAAAGCAGTGTAGCCCCTCATTTCCCCATAAACGTAATAAAACTTTGGTTACAACTCTTTCCATAAGCAATCTAAGCAAATCAAACATACTGTCCTCTTGAAAAGTCAAGAAATGTTCTTCATAACTCAGGTCATTAAAAAGTTCCTCAAATCACACCAAGGAACTTTCTTAGATGCTTATAATGCTTGTCTTTTGAAATGTTTATCCACATCTAGACCTTCTGTAACTTGTCTTCTCCCACGGTTAGGTCTTAATAATTTTTCCTTAATTGGTTCCAACTCAAAAAGCTCACTATATGTATTGTATCCTATGGCTACTGGTCAAGCAGGTCAGATTGAATTCCATAGAAACCAGGTGTCCACTGAAAATAAGTGTTTTGGGATGCTTGGGTGGCTCAGCTGGTTAGGCACTGAACTCTTGATTTCAGCTCAGGTCGTGATCTCATGGGATCAAGCCCCACCACGGGCTTCGCAATGAACATGAAGCCTGCTTGGGATTCTTTCTCTCTCCTTCTATTTGCCCCTGCCCACCCCATGCACACACACATGCTCTCTAAAAAGAAAAAGGAAAAGCACTTCAGTTAAAACCCAAAGCAATCACATCATCCAATTTAGATATAGTAAATGCTCCATAAATACACGCTGGATTGAATTTATTTTTGTTAAAGGCTCTTGTACTCTTCCTGTGACCTGACAACTCTTTAGAACAGAGATTAATGCTGCATTCCAGGCAATTCTGTGATGAGTAAATAAGACATGATTTCTAGAACAAATGCTGCCAAGTCTGCTGGAATAGTACAACATGGGAAATAATTATCAAACGACAGCAGTAGCTTCTTTCAGACATTCATTTATCATTTAATAAATATTTACTGAGGATCTAATATGTAATAGGATATGTCCTAAGCACTTGAGATAAATCACTGTATAAATCGAAGATCCCTGAACTCATTAGGCCTGCATTCTGGTAGGGGAAGAGGGAGAATAAGCAAAAACACCACAAACTTGTAAATTACATTAAAGGCAAAAAGTTCTATGGAAAAAAAAAATGGTACAGTTTAAGGGGGATCAGGAGTGCCCCAGTGGTGGGAAGGGTGAAATTATGAAGAGAATTGTCAGGCCTCATTGAGGGGATGACTTCCGAGCAAGACTTGAAGCAGGGAAGGAGAATGGACTGCAGGTTGAGGGATGACCAATGAAAGTCCCGAAGGCAGGAGAGCATCAAGCATGTTCAAGAAAACAGAGGATGGCCTTGTGGCTGGAACAGAGTAGTCAGAGGGAGGAGGGTGTGAGGTAATAGGTGGGACCAGATCATGAAAGGCCTTGAGCCCAGTGTCAGATTTTTGGCTCCTACTGAGGGAATGGGAAATCCACTGGGTGGTGTACTAAATCCACACTGCAGGGAAACAAGGAAGCAGACCGACCTAAAGGGGATGACTTCAGCCAATCAGGGGAGAGGAAGGTGATTCAGATGAAGGTGTAGCCGTGGAGATGGACCGAAGTGAGCCAATTCTAGACACATGCTGCATTTATTGAGTGCCTCCTATACTCCAGAACTGTGGTAAGGGGTCACAAGTCTGTCTCCCTATACATCATCATCGCATCTGGCTTATTCTGGCAAATGGCCAAATAAAATGTTATCTCTAGTATGTTTTTCTTACAGCAAATATGTGGTTATCAGAACAAATGAGTTTAGACAAAAAAAAAAAAGCTATTTTTGGTCTTGTACCAAGTTTATATTCATTCATTTAAAAAAAAAAAAAGCCTATGCTCAGTTTGCTCATTAGAACCATAAAAATGACCATGCAAAGCAATCTTTGGGAATATTTATGATTGTACCATGATCTTTAAAAAATTTTATCCAGGGCGCCTGGGTGGCTCAGTTGGTTAAGCGACTGCCTTCGGCTCAGGTCATGATCCTGGAGTCCCGGGATCGAGTCCCACATCAGGCTTCCTGCTCAGCAGGGAGTCTGCTTCTCCCTCTGACCCTCTTCCCTCTCGTGCTTTCTATCTCTCATTCTCTCTCTCTCAAATAAATAAATAAAATCTTTAAAAAAAAAAAAAAAAAAAATTTTATCCAAACCTCAGAAACTCTTACCATCAGTTACAAAAGTACCAAGAAATGAAAAAAATAGTCAACTATTTAGCCCCCGATAATCTAAAACATTAGAAACACAGATTAAGATGTTTTTGTTCCTTGTAAAACCCTTATCAAGGGCAGTCTGAACACGGCCCGCCTTATCCTTCTCATGAGCACCTCCTCCGTGTCTCGGCAAACAGTCATTCTCCATCTGGATCATTCCCAGCATTTTCAGAGTTTAATGGGAACTTCTTAACCAGTGTCACTTCTTCTGGGACATCTCCATCCTCTTTGTCACAACCATGTTCCTCATTTCTGTCAATAAGGTCACCTTCACTCGGTCCCTCTGGCTGCACATCTGCGGTTTCTCAAGGGGCAACCTTGTCCGCACTCCCACACTGGGATACTGCTTCTACGATTCCACTTACGTTCCATCAGAATTTCATTTCCAGGATTCCTACTTTTTCTTTACTGCCCTTTCATTTTCGACAGCCAATTCCCACTTATCCATGTTCAGGAAATGCCCCAAGCCTTGCTCACAAGGAGACCAGGAGGTAATGAATGCACCAGGTGTGGTCTGTGTGGGACGTGAAGAACAGACGTGCAGGGACCAATCACCACAGGCTTAGAAAGAAGCACTGTGACTGGTCACTGATCATGACGTCCATCTGGTATGTATCTGACAGCAATTCAGACACTCAAGAGCTAGCGGTGAAATCTGTGCTTTCTGCAGTTACTCACAGTTAATACATCATGGTAAACGAAATCTGAACCATGATGTTGGGGTACCGATGCCATTTAACCAAACCCGCCAACTGAAACTGTGCCTCTGATAAGCATGCAAGGGGTCAACTATGTTTGAGAACCTACTAAAGGTATAGCAATTTGAACATATTATCAAGGTTGAAGCAGCAGGATTTGCTGACAAATTATATGAAAAAAAAAAATCCAGAAAGCTACTATTTCAGAAATTGTGGTTGTACATCTGGACAAAAATGAAATTGTCACACTAGAGAGAAACCCTATAAATAAAATGAATGCAGAAGAGCCTTCAACCACAGATACTAACCTTTATCACAACCCGGAAACTCAGATAGGGGGACACCCTATGACTATATTCTTGGTATAAGAACCTTCAGTCATCATTCAGCCCTAAAAAGTACATTTTTACTCAGCCATCAGAAAGGATGAATACCCAACTTTTGCATCAACATGGATGGGACTGGAGATTATGCTAAGTGAAATGAGTCAAGCAGAGAAAGTCAATTATCATATGGTTTCACTTATTTGTGGAACATAAGGAAGAGGATGGAGGACATGAGGAGGAGGAAGGGAAAAAAGAAGGGGGGGGAAATCGGAGCAGGAGACAAACCATTAGAGACTATGGACTCCGAGAAACAAACTGGGGGTTTTAGAGGGAAGGGGGGTGTGGAGATGGGTTATCCTGGTAATGGGTATTAAGGAGGGGTCACGTTCTGCATGGAGCACTGGGTGTTATATGCAAACAATGAATCATGGAACACTGACATCAAAAACTAATGATGTACTATCTGGTGACTACCATAATAAAATTAAATTTTTAAAAAGTACATTTTTTATGAGTAAAAATACGCTAAGAGGTCAGCAGAGCAAGGTGGCGGAGGAGTAGGAGACCTGGGTTTCGTCTGGTCTCAGGAATTCAGCTGAATAGGGATCAAACCATTCTGAACACCTACGAACTCAACAGGAGATCGAAGAA